CATGAAAGTCGACTGTTACAAAATTTTACATTTATGTATTTGTTATAGTAATTGCATGTGTTTTCTTACGCGGCCCAGCAAGTGATCGTTTTTAATATTTTTACTATTTACAGTTTAATTAAATAAAATAATAGCTTAGTAGGGCAACTTTTTGAGAAAGAACTTGAATAATAAAAAAAATAATATTTATGTATGTATGTATATATTTCCAAGTCATTTAAATTGCTCTAGTATATAATACGGTCTCCTACTATCTAAGTTTCCATTTATATAAGGAAAAGCTAACAAAGTTTACCAATCTGTTAGATGAGAACTATTTACACTTGTGATAAGGACGTTGTACAATAAATACACATTACCTAGTATTACATAAATTTTTTGAAATGATATGCAGTATTTCAAAAAGGAGTAAACATTATACATACGTGGTGTATAAAATATTATTACTTTTTAAGTTATTACAATTTTTCAATACTTGACATTTTATTCTAATTTAAATTATTAATAAATTAAAGCAAAATTGGTCTTTTATGCAAGCAAATGTATGTATATTTGTGTAAGTATACTTGAGAATGGACATGAATAAATACGTGGCTAATGGGTAAAAAAACCACTTAAATATATATATACATATATATATTGTATATAGCCAAAAGGCTGAATGTTACTGATAACGATAACTACTTAATAAGGCTAAATTTGTTTTGAATACTGTACTCATCATAATAATTATATAAACTTCTAAAACTCTTCAAAAATATATGACATAAAAACRATTTTTAAACTCTACTTGTGTATTTTTAATCATATTTTATCATACTATTATAAATATTTCGAGTTCTAATTTAATTATATCATTCTACTTTCACATTTACTTATGTGTGTTTATATAAATTTCTAAATTTATTCGAAATTATAATGAAAATTGTACGAAGAGAAATTTATATAATATAATAGGGTATATTTACATCACAAACATTAACGCGTACAATTTGCTACATTCACCATTTTATTCTAATAGATAATGATTAATAAGTACTATGCTAAATCAAATAAATGGCAAGTATAAATTAATTTGATTGTGGCTAAGATTAAATTTGAGTATCTATACATACATATAGTTATGTTCCAAATTTCCTTGTATATTACTCATGTATACAATAAATTCTTTAYAATATACATGAGCATAAGTGTAGTTTTGGTAAAGTTTAAATTAAAGAGTAGTAAACAAGTACTACTATCACAGAAATCCTATATCAATACATATTTGAGTGTATATGTTTACATAGAAAAAATATGTAAGCATTTATGCACTTACTCTCCTTTTTAGCCGAAAAGGTAACAWGGGGATATATAAATTACTGGAAGGTTATACTTACTCAGTGGATTCGACTGTTGGCGTTGTAGGCATGATCATCAGAATGCAGTTAACCAGAATAGTTGTAATWATAAATAACGAAAACAACGGATGCACTAAAATATAAATAGCTACGCGACGTATGGGATTGAACGGGTCCAGCAACCACATTGCTTTGGATGCAGAAAAGCGAAAAATATCTTTTCCCTTACTTACAACTACAAAGGTCTGCAAAAAGAAAGAAGGCATTAAATATTTCAGGACCAAACCTARTTACATAAATTACATACCAGTACATTGTTATAAAAAGGATCAATATCCTCGAGAGGAGTGGAGGCCARTTYCGGAGGGAAGCTGCCCTGCAATCGAACAGGTATTGGCACGCCCTGTTCAAGTGTAGGATCCGGTTGTGGACCTTCATCCTCATCCTCGTCATCATATCGGATCTGTGATTTTCGATTTCAATATTCCATTAGATGTAGTTGTAAGAATATTTGGTAGGACAGAAAATACGTTGAAAATGAGAGATTAGTAAAAAATTGCGAATGTGAGACTGATGGCAAACTCTGCTACTATATAAAGACATGAGTCTCAAAAATACAAAAGTGTATCATATCTGTCTCTTATACACATCTAGAATGTGAGACTGATGGCAAACTCTGCTACTATATAAAGACATGAGTCTCAAAAATACAAAAGTGTATCATATTTAATGAAAATTAGGTCAAAGTATGTAATTAAATATAAAACTATGTGGTRGGTTTTGTTAAGGCAGCATATTAATTTTGGTAGATTTAAGCAATTTTGATTCCTAATATTATTTTTTGTATTCGGTTTTGAACTTATTGTCTGTGATCTTTTTGTCCGAATCACGAATTTAGGTAATAAGAATAGTAAAATGCTATTAAATATCGAATAAAACAATAACTGAAACTCATTTATATTTAATAATACATAGCTGTTTCAATTGAGAAGCTAAAGCAAAAGAGTGGTGTAGATACGGCATAAACACAAATTTGCAAATGTAGCACATTTATATAATATACTTATACAATGACAATAAAAGCTACTGTCTGCTGTACATACATACACGTACAAAATAAATTATTGATAAGCGAATCTCAAATAATGTTTTTAAAACTACACACTTTTAAAAAAATACCGAGAAACAGTCCACTGTCAAGATTATAAAGGAAGGGCTAAAATTGGTGGAAACAAAAGTTTTGTAGCCCTATATATTTTCACATAAATTCTGAAAAAAATAATATAAAAAATACAAAACCGATATTAACGTTATTAACGTTATTAAGGGTATATAATCGGGTTTTGTGAACACACCAAATAACCAAAAATGTACATTACTTATCCCCTTCGCTTTAAAGTTAACACACTAGACGCAAATCAGTAGTTTTATATAAAACATRTCATTTAACTGACATAGAAGAGATAGGCGAAAATATTGTCGCTTAGAAGTGGCGATGTTAAGGAGGTGACACATATGTATTGTCCACTAAATATTGCTTAGATTAAGTTAGTGTGAGTGAAATATAACATTGTCTCCAAAAACAAGCGATGTTATAACCATTGGTTAATTTTTGATTTAAACAGACATGCGGTCATGAATAGTCGGACCTTATCCTTCCATTATACTATGTAATACTTAATCTAAATACATTTCCTTAACACTATACTATACAATTTTTATTGCTGGTATCCTTTGTAACATATGTATATAAATAAATCTCAAGTAATTCTTCTTATGACAAGATTGATAGGTGCGCTATTTCAGTGTTTAGTGTATTACACATGTTAAAGTTTTATTCTACATAAAACACATTTATAGGTAGTTTTACCCCAGCCACTGCTTATATAGAAAACTCCTATACTTCATTATTTATTTTCAAATAAGAATGTACTTATGTATGTATTTATATCAACAGCTAGTTTAGTTAAACAAAACTAAATCTTATATTTTGTATGATGGTTTTAGCACAAATAGTTAATTTTTAAGTATGAAAATATTTTATTGCAATGAAAAAATAATAATGTGGATAATAATAAGTGTGGAAAACTGCAATAGAAATTATGTTTACTACAAATAAAAACTATTATAGAAAACGTGATACTTGAAAGTTACCTGTTGCTCATAAACGTTATTATCTTAGGAATTTTTAAATTTGTACCTTTTTCGGAAAGAATGAAATTTGCGATGTTATAACACTTTATTTAATGCAACATTACCCAGCTGTATGAATGTGTATTGTACGCCGTTATACATTTATATAATACAAATACATTCATATGTATGTATGTATGCATTTTCAGCAAAAAGCGCTGGAAATTGTTGCACCCTAAATCTAAATCATCAGACATCTGCGTAGTATGGTCAAAAGAAAAGTACTTCCTAATATCAAGGTAGAACAACCTGAGGTTTACTAATTAATTTTCATGTAACATATTAAACTACTCCTGCGAATTGGATGGTATTTACTCTTACTCACATATGTATATATGTAAATCTATATTCTTCTTATGCAAGTATAGGTTGTTAGGTGAACACGTATTTGCTCAAATTGTACTACTTACATATTTTTGTTGTGATTCGAGTGTCAGTATAAATGTAAATACGCACATATGCATAAAAATGTCATGACGTGAAATGAAAATGATATACCGTCATTTTGTAAAATATAAGAGGCTTAGTTTGTAAATTCCCAAATTAAGCGATTAAACATATGATTCACTGGCGTACCCAAAAAAGCGATGAGCATCGCGTTCAACACTCAGCGTTACCGCCAACCTTATTTAGGTATGGGCAGCTGCCGCTTTTATTTAGGAACGACAGTCACTTATTTGTAGATACGTATACATCTTAAACAAATAATATAGGCTTTGATTTAACATTCCTAGTATCTTAACAAAATATATATAATTCGGCAGATTATTACTACGGATGATTGATTAAAATAGACACTTTTATACACGTAAAATTTTGCTAACATTTTTGAAATGATAAATTTAAGTATAGTTACAACTATTCGACATAACATATAGAAAAGAAAAAATGATCATGACGCATGCATTCGTTAGTATATATGTGTGTATATAAACTTAAGTTTTCAGTTCAAGAAAGTGTATTCCTTGAGAAGAATGAAGAGTTAACTACTTGAATAAATGAAACATTTAAAAAATTAGTATGTACATAGACCAAATAAGTAATTGTCCGTAGTTGTCATATGTACAATTGCATAGATTTATGGACTGAATACAAAATGGATTGAAGTGTGCATGGTTAGGACTTATTGATTCGAATTTATTTAAAAAAACTCGGACCTAAGAGTAAGTTAAAATAACTATCAGATTAAAACCCTAACTGTATTGTTTGGACTTTTATATATATACAGTTATACCTAAATCGGCAATAAAAAGTAAAAGCTTATTTGAGTAGGAATTAGAAGTGCATACATGTTTGTAGGAATAAAATAAAGTAGGCAAACAGCTGCTTGAATAAAACAATTGATTTACTATTTCTGAAAACTCTTACTTCTTTTTGTTTTTTCTTGCGACCATATTGCGGCTGAATGAAGATTTTATCGAATAATTTTAATGAAATTTGAAATGTAACGGTATGAATTTAGTATTGAGATTTTGTTTAAACGATAACCGATGAATGATAAGCGGTACGATGATGATTTATTCAGGAGTGATATTGTATTATTTGGTACAACATCATAAACATTAATTAAAATTTCAATTAAAGGTAATATGAAACCCCGAAAAAGAGAAAATAGAAAAAGGGAAAGTTGTTTTGTTTGGTTATAATATTAGGAAGAAAAAGATAGAGAAAAAGAGAGAAATAAGAATCAAAATTATGTATAACTTTCGCCAGCAACCTTTAAAATTAATGTTTTTTAAACTTATTAAGAATTCTTAATATACATGTCACTTTGCTCGTAAATTAATAATTTATGACGAAGTGACTGACACCATATTTCTAATATGGGTTATTATTTTATCGCCACAATTATTGACTATATAAATACATATGGAGTTTAAAATTTTGTTTGTAGCTTAATTTGCTAAAATATATTCTTCACTATAAAATATATTTAAAATGTAACCCATTAACTTAAATAAAAAAGTATGTGAAACAAAATAATATTTAAAACCAATAACTGAAACATGTATAATATGTATATATGTATGTATATATAGTACATCGGCAAATAGTTAAATTCATATTACATTATATAAAATAATAGAATTTTATAGTAAAAATAACGTTTACATTGGATTCCAACACAAATTATGAGTTTAAGTAAAATAATATGTATAGCGAATATATGTAATGTATAATCATATATTGTACACAGTTATGTTAGTAAAGAAATTTCCATCGAATTTTGTAATTTTTAGCATTAATAGATACTTGCTATACAAATATGATGGGGCATGTGAAGAGACTAAGATGCTTAATTTATTTGTAGAAAAATTAACACCCTAAATTATTAAGATATGACACAGAGGTTGATGTTTTCAAAACAGTAAATTACGTTATCTACATATACGAGTATAATATTAGGATTATTACGTATTTTCAAACAAAAATATTTTATAGAACACGCAAATAACTATTTTATAATACAGTTACAAGTAGAAGCTCTTTCCATTAGTTCAAAACAGTTTTAAATTCAATGCAAGCATTTGAAATTTACGACAATTCAAAAAGTGCGAGGTTTTTAAATAATAAAATAGAAAATGAAGGACATTTAATAAACCAAATTTCTATCGCTGCCGTTCTATTATGTGATACTGATATACGAGAGACTTCAAAATGTGGTTTTCACATAATGGTATGCATATGTATGTATATGTTTATATACATTTTTATTACATAGATAAAAAGTTCTTAGTATCCCCTCAATTGTTATATGTATTTATGCATGTATACAGCGAAATTCACATAACGGACCGTCTTTATAACCGGACACGTGTGTTGTGTACAATTTCTAGTACCTGTGTTTAACATCGAGCAAAAATGTTGCGACGTTGTGAGTCCGGTTATGGTGAATTTAACTTTATATAATTTTTTAATGAAATCCTTTATTTGAGGAATAGGTTTAACAAATCAATTTGAAATATTTTAGTTAATTTGGACACATTGCGATTATTAAGAGAAAAATCGCATAGACTATACCAGTTTATGTTCTAGGTACTGTAACTGTGCAGTAAAATTGTAAAAAGAAGTAAACCGTTATAAATTGTTATGGTGAATTTAACTGTATATAATTTTTTAATGAAATCTTTTATTTGAGGAATAGGTTTAACAAATCAATTTGAAATATTTTAGTTACTTTGGACACATTGCGATTATTAAGAGAAAAATCGCATACACTATACCAGTTAACGTTCTAGGTACTGTAACTGTACAGTACAATTGTAAAAAGAAGTAAACCGTTATAAATTGTTATAATCGGCAATGAAGTACTAATGGTTACACATTATCATTTGGAGAAGTCTGATTATTACCGAAACCATTTTGAATAACGATGAATAACCATGTATACTATGTATTACTTATTTGTAAAGAGTATATAATAACTTTAAAAATGTAAATAATACTTTGATATAAAAGGTGTATGTTCAAATATACGTAAGATGTTGATTTAATAATAAGCAAAACATTAGGTTTAAACATATTGAAAAGTTAGCTAATTTTATAACACAAAGTCGAATTAAAGTATTTACCACCTCGCCCTCGGCTCTTTTTCTTTCAAACTCCTTTTGTTTTTCATATTCAGCGGCTATGCGTTTTTCAATTTGAATCAACGATTCGCGGGTGAAGGGACGGAACAAGCTACGTTCTTCCTCAGATATCGAGTCGGAATCTTCTGTCATTGTCTATACGGCCAGCAGTGAGAGCCTCAGATTTCCAAGGCCTGTCAAAGTTATTTTTTTCGAGTAATTACACAATAACAGTAAATGAATATATTAAAAATGAATGGATTAAAAATTCTTACATGAGGCACATGGATGTCGCGGGTTAGCTTTGGATTACAGCTATATCCGAGGCGCCATTTTCGATAAGCGCCCTCCGCTTTTATAAATCTGCAATAAAAAATTTTAGTTCCTTTAAGGAAATTCGAAATTTACAGATAAGTTGTCAAATACATATGTATGTTGACGACAAGGAAATGCATAGGTATCAAAGAAGATCGAACTATTTATTTGCATATGGGAAATATTATGTAGTAAACTACTAAAGATATTGAATATTCAGAATTATCTGCGTCAAAGAGCCTCTAAAGTATTATATATTTTGTTACTATATAAAAAAAACAATACTACTTAAAATCAAAATTGCGCCAAGAGCATTGCGAACTTGCATAAGTACTTGTTATCCTTTTTGTTTTTATCAAATCATCATATATTTATTTGTACGTAGTCAATGACATTTGGAAACTTAACGAAACTCATTCGGAACCATTCTCTCTGAATTCTCATTTACAAATGCCTGTTATGCGAAGTAGAAGAGAGAGAGAGAGAGAGAGAGAGAGAGAGAGAGAGGGAAAGAATTGGATGTTATGTTCCAATTTACATTGATGCATGTATTTGTTTGTATGTATGTATGTTTCAATAGCTGTAAACAAATTACTACGATCTTAGTTATCTGCTTTGCAATCAATGGTAAAAACGTTGAAAATGAGCTCGACCTCTTAAAATCTACGGCATTTTACCAATACATACTTTTGTTTGAAAATTAATTAATGAAATATTGTTAATATGGTAAGTCACACATACCTTTGATCCCAGCAAAATTAATTGCTTTTGATTACAATGATCCTTGCTGTGGTTATAAGTTGCTAATAACCTATGTATTTAAGGTTGACCTGAGATTGTTCAGGAGCGCGGGAGAGAGTATTAAGTCCTTTTGTAAATGTTGTGAACTATTTTAGAACTAAATGGCTCCGTATTTTTTACAGCAGCTCACACTTGGCATCACACATAAGTAAATTGTCGAAATAAATTATTGGTTTCATTTTTATTTATTTTCTACTGGTTTTTAAGTGCGTTGATTTACAGACATAAATTGTAACAACGTAAGGATGGTAGAAGTAATATTATGATTAAATTATGAGGAATGGTATCAAGAAGCAAGACCAAGCGTCTGTTAATTTTTATTTTTATAATTCGATATATTATAATTGTTGCTGCTGTTGCTACTGTTGTTACGAACGTTAACTCTTTTTGACATGAAATATATCTCTTTAAATCACTTTCAAAGAATATTCATCAACATCACTTATTACTTTTCGTTAAATATATGTTTCTTAATAGATTCACGCTATTCATTTTTATTAGAACATTTCATTTTTATTCTTGTTATTTTACTTATGAATATACATATATACACAAATATACGCATATATACATACACATATATTATATGTATATACAACTTGTTTTGCATTTTCACATTATAAATATTGAGATTTATATCCCTTATAAGGAGAGATATGCGCTTTTTGAGGACTTTTTAAATTTCTTACTTTGTTTTTGAATATAAGCTGATATTAATACATACATATATTACGCAGGTATATAGCAAAAATAAATATCGTAATCACTTTTATCATCTACGGAAGCAGGATCTCCTACGCACACCAAAGTATTGTATTATATTATATATATTTTATTAGTATGCAAATATGTACGCATATTAATTTAGTTTATTTACACTGTGTCACTTAAAATCTTAGCATCACACTAACCAAATTAGGAAATAATATTCAACGGCAATTCTGTTTTCGATTTTGTTTTTTCCTTTACAATACACAAAAAATACCTATTTGGTCTACCATTTAAAAAAAAAGTTAAAAAAGTTTCAATAAAATTTAAAACATAATTTTCATCTTAAAATACTTTTTCACATTTAGAGGGGCTAAGAAACTGTTATTTAAACATATCATTCTCGTTATAAACTTGAAGAAATCAATAACAAAATATAACTGTTGTTTTGGGATACATCGATTGGGATTACAACTTTTAATCCATTTGAATTTATAAAGCACCTTTATTACATAATCTGAAATATCTATATGTAGGTTAATTGTATGAGTGTGAACACGTACATAAAATACCGCAATAAGTATTCAAAATGTATGTACATAAACATACATATGTACTTATGTGAATTAAAACTACAAGGACATTAAAAAGACGAAATTCTGAGTAAACTCAAAGAAAGTGCTAATAAAGTACGATATTTAATATTTATATATGTATACATTTGTATATATGTATGTATGTACATATGCATAGATTGCTTCGTCATCTAGTGCCGAAGGGTTTACATTGATAATCACGAAAATAGAATTATTCAATGAAAATCCCTAATATCGATTTTTATACATAAGTCACGCATACGCCCAGTAATAGAGGCAACGTGTTGTAGAATGAAATAATCCGGAAAATATTAGAAGAAACTATTGATTTCGGTTCAACCTAGAAATTTATATATTATTTATAGGATTACTGTTTAAACTTATATTTCTGGAAATTAGAATTCACGTCACTAACAATTATATCACTTTATATGTTTTATTAGCCATTCGTTTTTGCTCAATATAAAACACGTAGTATTATTTTATGCGAATTTTTAGTTAACAACTAAATTTACGACTTTATTTAATATTGCAAAGATTACATTAACTGGGTAAAACTTATTGCGGCAACTTCGAAACAACCATCCGCCTCAGCGGTAGCAACAGCAGTGCCATCGGCAACAGAAACGACAGAAAGACAACAGATATGACACCATTTGTAGGACGAGAAAAAACAGCAACAGCATAGTATGACGAAGTAATGAATCAGCAAAAGCCTGAACACTGTATTCTTCTAGCGATGAAAGAAAAAAATTTAGTAGCACTTTTTTCTAATTTCTGTCACTTTTTTTATTAACTCTACCTGGTTCCACTTTAGCAAAAAAAAAGTATTTACGTTATAAATGTCGTGAAACGCAATATTTTTCAACTTGTACGAAAGTAACCCACAATTAAGTGTAATTTTCGTTTTACACTCAAAAAACTTCGTCGTACTGGCTAATAAAAATATATAATAATTTGAATAAACGTTTCACTCTTGGCGATGTATTCGGTCTTCTGATATAGGTGCTTCGTGAAAACTCATACTTATATTCACTCATATATGTATGTAGATGATATGTGTATATATACGTATTCAATAGGGGGCATGGACATATATATATTGTACATCTAAAGTATTGCTATTCTGGGTGGCGTTTAATGCCATATCCGTGTGCTTTGCTCGCCTTTTACTCGTGCGGCTATGGAACTGGTGTTGCTTTTCCTTCGTTTAAGCTTCTGCCTTCCTTTTCACACTCCACCTATACTCATACCATTTTACCAGATACACAACCCCGGATAGAAAAATCGAAGGCGTTTTTTTCTATCATTTCTTTAAATTGTATAATTTTATACTATTTTCAAGTTATCTTTGATATCAAGAACATTTCTATGAATATACATATACACTATATTATTTAACAATTTCCTTTTTTCAAATTCACAATATTAAACACTAAAAAAAACTGATGCTTAGTGTTAACATATTGCGCTTTCATAAAAACCAACCGATTTTCAAGAAAATATTATAAATAAACCGTTTAAATTACATTTTAGCTAGCTTGAAAAAATCCTTATAGTATATTTTCTATGTATTGACTTAGGGAAGTGAACAGTTAGTAAGTATTGCAAGCGTTGCCTTTTACCCGAAAATCCGTTCGCCTCTATGGTTCGTTGAAACTGTCGTCTTGTGTTTGAAATGAATACCTTGGAAGTCTATGCTTCGTTAAGTTTGTTGCAAAAACAAAAAAAAATGTTTGTAAGTTCGTGTGATTATTTAACGAAAAGATATATTGGCGCCTGGGATATATACACATACATAAGTTGCATGTCGCACGCAATACCTCACACACCATGTGCCACGGTCTTTTCGCTTTACAACAAACTACAAACACATCATAAAGTCTGCCTTTGGCGGCCACTCAATGACCCCACCCGTTTGCCAGCACCAACCCGTTTACGGTCACAATACTCGGTCATTAGGACACCCGAGCGGATACGAATTGCTTCGTTTTATGCTCCTCCAACATTTATCGAACTATCGGTAATTTTTCGTCAACTTTTGACAGATAATTGTAGCAACGTCAGGCAACGAAGACAACACATACTTATAACTAACTCACTTTTAAAAGAAAAATCAGAGGATATTGAAAACAACACAGAATGGGTAATAATAGAATAGAAGGCAGAGAGGTAGAGTAGGGTTGAAAATTAATCCTGTTCAAATTCCCATTCATAAACGGTATAAGAGTCCTTAATACGATGCGAAAGGAAAAAAAAAATACTTCATCCTACACAACATATGTAAATAGTATTAAAAATGGAACTTTTCAATATAGAACAAGTAAGACTAATTAAATATGTACATACATATGTTTTCCTATACACACTTAACTTACTCAAATTGACCTTTCCGCAAAAATGTTATTTCCATTTAAAATTTATAACGTATACGTTAGAATGACGTTTGTATACATACATATGCACGAATGGGTTGCATAAATCCTGCAGCCCATGATAAATGCATTTTATATTGGTGTTATAAAAATTAATATAGACAAAGAAGAATAGGCGAATATTTGCATTTGGAAAATAAAGCAATTGTTCACCTTTGGATCACACATTTTTTTTCTATAGTACCATACACCAATTTAGTGGACGTCATTACCTCGCCGCTGCAATACTGCCTTCTCCTCACGCGACTTCAATCATTCAATATAATTTTATTTCTTTGACATTATATTTTTTGTTATATACGTTTAAGGTTACGATGGTAACTATTTGTGCGAACACAAAATAAGCTCCCCAACAACTGCTACTAGAGCAAAGGAATGCACCAACCGCTAAATTACAAATTGCACCAGCGATTCAAATGAAATATGGATAGTTTAAGTGTATTCGTCCTCGATACGATAAGTTTAGTATATACATACACATGTTTAAACTTGTATAAATTAAAAGAAATTATGCTAGTGCCTAGGGTAAGGTAAGTGGCTTCAATGCATTAAATATTATGACGAGTTAATAGTGACGATTTACATGTAGATATGTATGCCCAAGCTTGGCTATATTTCTACACTTTTTGTAATATTTTATGTCTGAGGATTTTATGCCGAATATCGTTACATGCATACAAATACACGTGAATTTAAATATTTCAGTTTTATTTACATATGTATGTATGTTTGCAGTTTGTTTTGATGACATCATACAATGAGCACGGTGCCGTAAATTCTTCCTTACTATTATTTCGTTTAGAGTTCTGATACATAAATGTATGTAAATGACAGAAGACAAATTGTTAATGCGCATGTGCATTACTTCAATAGAAATTTTAGTAACATTGCTAGAGAAAAATTAACATAGCTTTTAGCCTTAATGTACTTAATCATGGTCACGGAATGCAGTCAGCTGTTATTTTCACGGTTCACTGTTTAGTGAGAATTGTTTTCAACTTTCTATTTCAATAACAGCTGCGCTCAATGTTGCTAAGGCTGTCTTTTTGACGTATACATTATAATACACCGAATTTCCATTTGGGGAGGAATTTTGGAGAATTAAAATCGGACTATTACACACATACTTGTAATATACATATATATTAACTTGTTTTATTGAATAAATTTGTGTTTCAGAAACTTATTTTTGTTAATATAAATTATACATATGTATTTTATTATGGATATTCAATATATCACTGCAAACGCAAAAACACTTACTGTAATCTCAAAATTAATTCGAAGTTATTTCATTTCCTGCCGTTTTCAGAATACTTCTTAAATGTTTGAAGTAACCAAATTTGTTTACGTTCACAATGTCAATGGTGTGTTATTAGTAAGTGGGTGGGTAGTCACGGAGGCATGTTTATTTAACTGTAATTTTACTTTAAAATTGCTGCGAATGGAATATAATTAATTTTATGAATTTTGTTATTTAAAAGTTCCACCAATAGATGTCTCCTAATATAAAGTAACAAAATTAAATATAATAGGTTCTAATCTCAGGGAATGCTAAAAAATAGAAAAGGCGCAAATGCTGTACCAGATTTATTTTAACGTGTCAATTTAAAAGTTATGGAAGTTTAACCGTATTTAGAAAATATGGCAAACGTTTTCTGCAATATTATTGATTAATGATGGTGCATCTGCGCTTTTTTATCGATTGCACGAATGTTTAATTTTTTATAAATGAT